CTCTCTCTCTCTCTCTCTCTCTCTCTCTCTCTCTCTCTCTCTCTCTCTCTCTCTCGTTGATTAAACGTTAGAAAAAGTATCACGTATACGAAAGGCAATGCTAACCGTGCAATAGTAGAACAGTATGCGCAGTTAAACCGCGTTTCAATTAACACATACACACATCCGTTATATCGAGAGGTATAGAAACAGCGAACAGAACTCTAGCTCCTGCCCCTGAGAACTCGATACTTGCTGCACGGTCCGTGTATTTTGGGCAATCCGGTACAACGGTTAGGCCGTTAATATCGCAGCTTGATCTCAGCTGGGGAGGAGAAGCAAAGCACGCTTTCGGGTTTAAATGGCGGCTAAGTAAGCTCGCTTTTCCCCTCGCTTTTCCACCCTTCACACACGGATGTCAGAATATTATCCCCTCCCCTGCTCCGTCCTCGCCTCTTGGAATGATCTTATCAATCCTTAGGCATCCTTTAACCTTCTTTCTTTACTCGTGTAAAATTTCGGTGCAACGAGGAGAATAAACGAACGAAGGAACGAGTCGATAGGAGATTTGGCGAAAGTGTAACGAGGAGAGGTCGGACGCGTCCCTCGACAGCGAGGAGGAAACACGTTGCGAGATTTCGTTATTAATATTTAACTACGGCGGAAAGATTAAAAAGTTTCAGGAATTTTAATATAGCCACCCCCGGGGGAGTCGTTTCCCATACGAAGACCGTTGCCAGACGCATACGACCGAGTTTCCCCGCGAATAAACACATAGGAGGGAGCGTTGTGAATATTTACGCGTGTATGTGTGTGCTAAATGCGAACGTGGAGAAGCTGATTTCGCGTAATAAAAAGGATCGAGAGGGGAAGTTGGAGGGATATTCATTTTCAGTGAGTTGCTACGATTTCTTTTCCGTTTTCTTTCCGTTACGTTGTTAAAAGAAAGATTAGTAAGAAAGGATGTTTTTAACGAATCTAAGAGTTAAAACTGAGAAGCGAAAGAATTTCTTTCTCGCGCAGGCTATGATGGGGGTGGACACAGTGGATAGGTTGGTCGTTGTTGAGTCGTTAACGCTCGATCGGATTCAGCCTGCGACAACTGCGTCGTCGTGAAAGTTTCTCGAGCCGATCGAGAGTTATCCTTGCCTCTGCACTCGCGTACGAGCCGAAAATGCAACGGTCGTCTCCGTTTCCGACTTCAAACTTCTCCTTTGATGTCCGTTTCATTGCCATTTCCCGTCCCACTCGCCTCGCCTTTGCTTTCCAATCTTTGTCGATGTTCGTTTATTGGCTAGTTGACGAGGCAGTAACAATCAACGCGAAATTTCTTCGCGAAAGAGATTGTTAAAAACGTGGATACATGCCGATCGAAAATTTCGAAGGAAATCAAAATTAAAAAATAATCAAACTACTTATGTATAATATAAATTATTATCTTAATATCAAATCAATAAATTTTTTTTCGGATACAATAAATCCGAAAAAAGTTGATAAGTTGAACGCTTACTGTACTATTGAGAGTGTAGAATAAGAATAATTCAAGCATATAAAAATATATACTTTCGAATTACAATTCATTATGAATTTAGAATAATGTTTTGTTTTATAAATGCAGAGGGTCTAGGTTAAAAATATAATTCGATAATCTTCTTATCAAAAGCTGATTGATCATTGAAGATTTCACGTGTACGGCACAACAGTGTACAGTGAGTGTGGGAGCTTATTGCACGCAGAAT